TGTTTCCAGCCTCAGCGTATTTCAGAGAGAAATATGTGACATTTTCCAACAGGTCATCAAATTCACAAATTTACTTCATCAAAACTACAAACTTATAGCCAGTCAGTGGTGGTGCAATTTTAATACCAGCACTTGGGAGGCAGAGGCAGGCAGATCTCTGTGAGTTCAAGGCCAGCCTGGTCTACAAATCAAGTTCCAGGACAGTAAGGGCTACACAGAGAAACCCTATTGTGAAAAACTTTTTTTTAAAAAAAAATTACGCAAATTTTCCCTCTTCTTCTCCTTGGAGACAAGCTTTCTGTCCTGGAACACACTATAGAGCTCAGTCTGATCTCAGACTCAAAATAGTCCTGCTGCTTCAGCCTCTAAAATGCTTGGTGTTACAACTGTGTGCCACCACCCACAGGTTAAGATGAGAAACTTGGTCATCATTACTCATCAGAATGAGGTAGGGCTGGAGATGTATCTCAGTGCGGAGCATCCACCCGGCATGGGCAAGGCCCGAAGCTTGACATGCAGTTCTAGTAGGGGTGCTACAAACGACAGAGCAGGGAGGAGAAAAAATGCATGCAAAACTGGTGAAGAAGTTATATCCATATATATTTTTCGATATATAATCCATATGTAATTTCAAATATTTTCCAAATTCTGACACATCAGTGAGACCATCACAACAGAAAAACGAGCATCAGGATACTTCAGGAAGAGGAAATCCAGCAGCCAGTGAAGTTGTGAAAAGGCTCAACCTCACTCACTACCAGGAAACCCACCAGAGAAATCACCGCACTCCTGACCAGAAAGCCTAAATCAAAGGAGACCAGAATACCAACAGTGCCGGCTGTTTGGGAGGGAAACTCATATCACCAGGGGAAATATAAATTGACCAGTTATTTGGAACAGTCCAGTGTTCTTTTCGTAGCTTTGGAAGTCCATGTGCCAGAGCTGGGGTGTAGCTCAGTTGACAGAGCGCTTGCCTAGCACGCATGAAGTCCTGGGTTCAATCCCCAGCACCACGTAAACTGGGTGTGGTAGCACGTGCCTGTGATCCCAGCACTCAGGAGATAATTCAGAGTTCACCCATGGCTACCTAGAAAGTTTGAGGCTAGGATACAGGAGATCCTGTCAGAGTTGTTGTGGAGAAATCAGGGAGGGAGGAAAAGGAACGTTTGGGTTGTTTCCGTTTCAGATTATCATCAATAATAGTGTTACAAAGGCCCTGGCTGGAGATCAGCAGCGGGTTATGCTACAGCTCTTGGTTTCAGGGAGGCCTACTGAGCTGTCTACCTATGGGTTGTTGGTTGTTCTAAACTCAAAAGAGGCCTAATCTCAGCACTCGGGAGGCAGAGGCAGATGGATCTCTGTGAGTTCAAAGCCAGCCTGGTCTACAGAGCAAGTTGTAGGACAGTTAGGGCTGTTACACAGAGAAAGCTTGTCTCAAAAAACAAACAAACAAACCAAAAAAAAAACTATACAAGGAGAATGACTAACATATTTGAATGAAACAACTCACAGTTCACGAAAATAAGAAGTGATGCTGTTGCTATGAACAAACTCCCATGGTTATTTTAGACATGTGCTTCCTTTCTCTTGAGTGTATATGCAGTAATGGAACAGTAAGACCATATGGCAACACTACCTTTAACTTGTATTTTTGTGTTTGTTTTTCAAATAGGATCCCTCTATGTTGCCCAGGCTGCCCTGGAACTCCCTATGTAGACCAGGTTGGCCTCAAACTAGCGGGGATCTTTCTGCCTCTGCCTCTGCCTCTCGAGTGCTGGGAGTAAAGGCGTGCGCCACCGCCAGCTGACTGCCTTAACTTTTGAGAGACTGCCAAGCTGCTTTCCAGTGTGCACCGTTCTATAGCTCCCTGTTCCATTTTATTAAGATTCCAATTTCTTCAAATCTCCACAAGCATTTTTATTTTCTATATTTTTGCCTGTTTGTTTGTTTTCAAGGCAGGATTTCTCTGTGTAGCCCTGGCTATCCTAGAACTCTCTCTGTAGACCAGTTTGGCCTCGAATTCACAGAGATCTGGGATTAAAGGCATGCGCCATCACTTCCCAGCTTAAATTATTTTTTAATATCTATCTATTTTTTGATTTATGTTTTTTGGGGGCAGGGTTTCTGTGGGTAGCCTTGACTGTCCTGGAACTTGCTCCATACCAGGCTGAACTGGAACTCCTCAGAGATCTGCTTGTCTCTGCCTCCTGAGTTGTGGGACTAGAGTCTTGTGCCACCACACTGCCTTTATTTTGTCGTTTTAATTATGGCCATCCTAGTAGCTATGAAGTGGTGCATCTACAATGTTTGTTTGTCTGCTTGTTTTTGATACCAAGTCGCACACTGTAGTTCAGGCTAGCTTGAAGAACTCACTATGTAGCCCAGTCTCAAATTCTGGTTTTGCTTTAGCTTTGGTATATGAACTAAACTCATGACCTGTTCATGCTAAACTAAGTATGGGCTCTACTATTGAGCTCTACCCCGTCCCCTAGTTTAGACAAGTTCTTTCTTAGATATATGATTGTCAAATATTGTTGTACTAGGCATGTGGCACACATCTGTAATCCCAGCACTTGGGAAATGGAGGCAGGAGGATCACAAACTCAAGACCAGCCTAAACTACAGGTAGTGATAGCACACACCTTTAGTCCCAGCACTTGGGAGGCAGAGGCAGGCAGACCACTGAGTTTGAGGCCAGTCTGGTCTACAGAGCAAGTTCCAGGGCTACACAGAGAAACTCTGTCTTGAAAAATCAAAAACTTAAAGTTAAATTTTAAAAAACTAAAAATCAATTAGGAAATAAAAATTATTGTTCTCTCCGGGCGGTGGTGGCGCACACCTTTAATCCCTGCACTTGGAAGGCAGAGGCTGGCAGATCTCTGTGAGTTTGAGGCCACCCTGGCCTACAATAACTAGTTCCAGGACAGCTAGGACTGTTACACAGAGAAACCCTGTCTCAAAAAACCAAAAAAAAAAAAATTATTTTTCTCAGTCTGTGAGATATTACCCAACTTTAAGACTTACTATAAAGCTGTAGTAATCAAGGCGATACATTGTGGCTGAACATAGACATGTAAATCAATGGAACAGAATAAAGTCCTGAAACTGTCTTATAAAAATATGACCGCTGGGCAGTGATGGTGCACGCCTTTAATCCCAGCAGTCAGGAGGCAGAGGCAAGCAGATCTCTGTGAGTTTGAGGCCAGCCTGGTCTACTAGAGCTAGTTCCAGGACAGGTTCCAAAGCTACAGAGAAACCTTGTCTCAGACACACACACACATACACACACAGACTAATTTGGGCCATCAAGGTGACTCTCTGGGTAAAGGCACTTGCCGCCAAGCCTGAGGACCTGAGTTCCATCCCTAGGATCCAGATGGTGGAAGACAAGAACTGGCTCTCAAATTCGTCCTCTGACCTCCCGCCTTGGCCCTTGCACAACCACTAAATAAATGGAGAGTAATGAAAATATAGCTAGTTAATGCTTACACTCTGTCTCAGCCAAGATGCAGAGAGGTGAGAGCTAATTAGCATGGGATGGGGATGTAAGCCCGAGGATTGAATCCAGGGCCTCACACAAGCTAGGCAAGCACATATCCCTAGCCCAGCCAATCAAGGTTTTACTAATCAGTGTGAGAAGTGAATTTAATAGAGAGCTTAGAGGCTTTGCAACAGTTAACTGTGGAGCAGAGGTCCATGATCAAAAATATTAGCATAGCCCTAACATACCATACCGCAAACAAAATTTATTTAAAAATGAATCCCCTATACAAACATCAAACAAACTATGAAACTTTTAAAAGAAAATGTAGGTTTAAAAAAACCTTTGTGTTTTGTAGTTAGGTAGTGAATTCTTAAAAATTCTTTCTTAATCTGGGTGTGGTAGCCCACATCTTTGGTCCCAGCACTAGGGAGGTAGAGGTAGGTGGGTCTCTATGAGCCAGCCTGATTTGCATAGCAAGTTCCAGGTCAGCCAAAGCTACACAGTAGCCTTTGTATATATATAAAAAAAATCTAATAGAAGGTATTTGCAAGCAATATTTGACAGAAAGGACTGTACCCAGATCATACAGAATGCCCATAAGCCCCCAGTAAGAGAATAGCCCGGTTTAAAAGGGGCAAAGTACTTAGGCAAAAAGGCTACCAAAGATAGCATATGGATAACGAATAGCCTCATGGAGTGATCTTCCACATTATTGGCCACCGGAGAAATACAATTCTCAGCCTCAATGCTACATCACTATTTACCTATTAAAATAGCCAAGATTCAAAAACTCTGGCAATGGTACACACCAGAATACGGGACAGCAGAGACACTCATGAAAAGCTTGGCCTTCCTAATGAAGCTAAGTCTGCCCTCCGCATATGCCAGCAATTCTACTCCTAGGGATAGATATCCACAGACACGGAGATGGAGAAATAGAAGCCTGTGTTCATGCAGAGCCTTCTCTATGCATGGTCAACGTGTCTGTTTGTAATAACACCACATAGAAACCGCAAGAGTCCTTCAGGGACTGCAAGGATAAACGGCTGCATATTTACAGCCTAACATGAGATGTAGCCAACTGCTGCTACAGTAGAGGAGTCCACAGACAGTAGACAAGATGAAAGAAGCCCGCCGTAAAAGATACAATGACCCCAGCCACACAAATTTTTGAAAATGATGGGTTAGCAAGAGGACGATGAGGCAGCAGATGGGTGACTGTGGGGGTTTCTGGGATGGTGGGACTATTCTAATCCTGATAGTGACTGGGATACATAAGTCTATATACATGCCAGTTCAGAGGACAATGAACAAATCAACTTCACCGCATGTTAAGTTAAGCTAGAAGAATCATGTGTTTCATTTTAAAATAAAAAAAAAAAAAGATCATGTGTTTCTCCAGACACTGGTTGCTATGGTGCAAATTATTGCTGCTTTTTTTTTTTTTTTTTTTTTTTTTTTTTGCTAACCTGTCACTTCCTGGTGCGAACAGACTTCCATACTCTTCCCTCAGTGCTGAGCAAGCGGGATTCCTACTTCCTTGGCAGAAACTCAAGAGTCACAGAAACTAAGAATGATGACCAGAGATGGCACAGACAATTTTGTGATTCCGAAATAAGGAAGGGCAGTCCAGCTCTGGACACAGGAATGACCTCCTGACATGGCTGGGCCCCTATCTCTCCTGGATTCAATGCAGGACTGTGACCAGCACCCCGCCCCCCTTAGACCAAGGGGAATGAGCAGGAGCGATAGCTCTAGACCCCCTCAGCCCTACCAGGCCCTGATTCCCATTGCTGGTCACTGTGTCTGATAACAAGCCCCACCCTATGAGCCCCCTCCCCTCTACCAACCAGTGGCCATAGCCTGTCAGGGCCCCTGACTTTGTATATATAAGGGGACACTGGAGACAAGCACATCAGGCCAGCTCTGAGTGCATTCAGCTCCAGCACAACCTCCAGCCCTCACCACCACCGCCATGTCTCTGATGAAGAACGAGCGAGCTATCATCATGTCCATGTGGGACAAGATGGCTGCGCAGGCCGAGGCCATCGGCACCGAGACTCTGGAGAGGTAAGTCTAGGCACGGTGGCTTGAGTCACCAAATCAGAAGCCAGGGGTCAGCAGGAAGGGAGTGACAAGGAGAAGTCGGTGGGGAGAAGCCACTGAGAAGAGGCCATGAGGAGGAAGACATGGTGATGAAGGGGACCGAGAGAGAGGTGCTTGTAAGGAGAGGGTCCAGGAGGACGGATGAGCCGCTAGAGGAGGTGAATTGGCAGTCATGGTCCTCACCAAGTCCTCCACATGGCTCCACAAGTCTTTATTGAATGAGTAGGAATGGACAAATGAGCAAGGGACAGGCAATGAGGAGGTGCAGTGGGGCCTGGGGCAACAGGAAATGGTAATGTCTATCTTGGAGTATTTTTTAAAGATTTATTATTATTATTATTATTAGTGTGTGTGTGCACGTGCATGCCTGCCTGCCTGCCTGTGAGAACAGGTGCCGCTGGAAGCCAGAGGCATGAGATTCCCTTGCACCTTAGTTACTGGAGGTTATAAGGTCTCTTCAAGGGGAGTCAGTGCTCTCAACCGCTGAGCCATCTCTCTAGACCCGGCTTTTGTTTTGTGTTTTGCACTATTCTATGTGCTTTTTTTTTTTGCATTTAATTTCATTTCTTTATTTAAATATATAATTTATTTTTATTTTGTGTTCATTGGTGTTTTGCCTGCAAGTATATCAGTGTAAGGGTGTCAAAAGCCCTGAACTGGAGTTACAAACAATTGTGAGCTACTATAAGGGTGCTAGGAATTGGACCTGGGTCCTCTGGAAAATCAGTCAGTGCTCTTAACTGCTGAGCCATCTCTCCAGCCACTAATTTCATTTCTTTGAACACTGTGGTAAAATACTGTTTTGTTTTGTTTTTCTGTCTAGTAAGTCTTTAGGACCCTTTAAATTTTGAGCCTAAGGCAAGAAGAGTCGTCCGCCTAATGACCACCCCCAAAATAATGCTTTCTCCCTATCCCCAGGCTCTTCTGCAGCTACCCCCAGACGAAGACCTACTTCCCGCACTTCGACCTGCACCACGGGTCGCAGCAGCTGCGTGCCCACGGCTCCAAGATCTTGGCTGCCATAGGCGACGCGGTTAAGAACATCGACAACCTCTCCGGTGCTCTGACCAAGCTGAGTGAGCTGCACGCCTACATCCTGCGTGTGGACCCAGTCAACTTTAAGGTGGGTTTGTGAGAACGGAGGGGGACCTCAGGAGGGAAGGACACGAGGGAGGAAAGCAAGTGGGGTCTCGCTGCACTGTGCACTGAACCTCCCTTTTGCCTCCGCAGCTCCTGTCTCACTGTCTGCTGGTCACCCTGGCTGCACGCTTCCCGGCCGACTTCACCGCTGAGGTCCATGAAGCCTGGGACAAGTTCATGTCTATCCTGTCTTCCGTCCTGACTGAGAAGTACCGCTAAGCGCCACCGTCCGGACTCCCAGACGGGCTACGACCCCTCTCCTACCCTTAACTGAACACCCCCACTCAGAGATCTTTCCCGTAGCCCCCAATAAATGGTTGAAGACGGAAATAACTGGTCCTGTGTTCTCAGTCTTGGAGGAAAATGGGGATGGGGATACTGTGGTATTCACAGGGGCTTCTCAGGAACATTGTGGATCCTAATGCCACACACGGCCTGAAGGACATTCCTAGGGTGGTTGGGGGAGGGTCTTGCGCTTGAGAACCCCCAGAGTCACAGCACGCAGGAAGCAGAGCTTCCAAGCACCAGCTTATGCAGGCCCTCGGTCAGACGCACAGCTGGGCTTCTCGCCTTCCTAAACCGCTGCGCACAGAGTGGTGGGTAGGTGTCAGGAATTCCCCATCACAGCTCCTGCCACCCTAGCAGCTGGGGGAGGGGGTGTCCCTGTCCTTAAAGAAGCAGAGGACTTCCTGGTCGGATTCTTTTTGGCTCCCTCCTGACAAGAGCAGTAACTGCCTTCATAGGAGTAAATTACAGGTTCTGCGAGTTCGAAACAAAGGTACATACACAGGAGTGAGCCGCAGGTTTCGCTCGCTCTGGGCTTATTTCTGTGGATAGGCGAAGGGGGTCTGCGTTCCATCTGAGCTCAGCAGATCAGGGCCTGCTGGATAGGAAGGCTCTGATGAAGAGATGGGGCAATGTGATCCCCTGAGCACCCCACGTCTGTGCCAAACTCAGCACCCAGGAGTGCAGTCACATTACAGCTCACTTCGCGCGACTCGGGGTCTCCAGGGCCTCTAGTAAGCAGCACAGGTCCGGCCCACACAGGTCTTTGGTCAGATCTTAATCTCTCTGCCTTACCATGTCAGGGATGTGGGGCACAGGGCTCACCTGAGGTTTCCCCGGGGTGCTGAACAGTGCTAGGGTTAGTGGGAACCACATGGGTTGCCCTGTCTGCTCAGGAACTGCTGAAGCCAGCCATTCGCGCTGTACCCCAACACCAAGATTTCCCCACAACTAAATGCCTGTCAGATGGGTGCTAAGTCTCAGGTTGCGCATGCTCGCTGTTAGTACTCTGCACCGTCTGAACCACCAGTGCGCAGATCTGACAGGTTCTGGCACTTCCAGTGGACCCTATCAATTTATCAGTTAATCTGGCCTATCTGAGGGTACAGAGCACAACTGGGTGTATTCAACAGGAGTGTTTGAAGTGGTACCGGTCCCCCTATCTGCAGAGTGAGTTCACCGTATAAGCCGCTGGACTCAGTCTGGGCATATCTACTAAGAGAGACTTCAATTTTTAAGAACTAGACATTTTTAAGAACTAGACTGGTTACATTTCTGTTACAGGACAAAGAAGTTCAGCATCCGTCACAGAGAGAGTCTCCTAGAATTCTTAAATAGCCATTCCACTTTGGGCAGAGAGAGAGAGAGAGAGAGAGAGTGTTTGGAAGTGGCCTGGGGAGTGTATTCTTTCACAAGTCAAATCTGGCACCAAGGCTAGTCACACCTTTCCCAAAGCAGATCTGCATTTTCTCGTGGATTCATTCCTCCTTCATCTCCTCCTTTGTTGGTACTTCCAGCGGCAAATCCCCTGGTCTTTTGCAAACGAATACCAACAAACAGAGCCAAGCCCCTGAGATCAAGCCATAACCTGATCCCTGGTAAAGCCGGCCTGGCCCAGGCTTCACTTCTGTCCCCTTCCAGGTGGGCTCCTTCCTAGCATGCTCCCCCTGCTACAGTCCTAGACCCAGAACAGGTGACCTCCTTCTCTGAGCTTCACAGTGTGAGGAGAGTTGGTGATTGTTGGTGGCCACAATGTGGCAGAGACAGACCACAATGACAAGCTGGTTGATTCTGTGCATGCCTGAGCTATCAGGCAGACAACCAGGAACTTACTAGGTTTTTCAAACTATTTTGAGATCACAGCGCATGGTGGACACGGAACAGTAGCTCCCCACCCCATCTGGGACACTTAAACTTCCTGGCTCCTTTCCATAAGCTGTTTCAACATTCCCATGTTGGTGGGGGGGGGAGAGATTACAGGGCTTCTTTGGTTTGTTGGCAAAGAACTAAAGTTAAAGAGAGCAAGATTCTGGAGCTTTGGGGTTGGGACTTTTGGGGTTTTTTGTTTGTTTGTTTGTTTGATTTTGGTTTCTCGAGACAGGGTTTCTCTGTAGTTTTGGAGGCTGTGCTGGAACTCACTCTGTGGACCAGGCTGGCCTCAAACTCACAGAGATCTGCCTATCTCTGCCTCTCAAGTGCTGGGATTAAAGGCATGTGCCACCACTGCCTGGCGATTCTGGAGCTTTGGAAACACTGAATGCATGTGGCCTCCAGAATGACATTCCATAGTGTAGGGAGCATCCGACCTGGTCCAGCACAATGCCAGATCTGAAAAGGAATGCTCTATCCATGGTTGCCTGAACTCCTCCAATAGCTGGTGCTGAGGGCCTGTTGGGTATCCCGAGCTGCCTGAGCACGAGCTGAGCAAAGAGAGGAGGGGAAGTTAACACCCACCTCCCCACTGCTACATAAACATGGAACAGCTTTAGTCCCTAGGAAAACATGATAGAAGATAGCCCAACCGGTGAGTTGGATCAGCCAGTCAAGGCACTTGCCATGAAACCTGAGAACCTGCATTAAATCCCCAAGACCCAATGGTGGAAGGAAAGGATGACTCGCACAAGTTTTTCTCTGACTTCCACACGTGTGCCATGGCATATGTGCACATACACACACAGTAAACAAACACACAAATACATAAATGTAATTTAAAATTGTAAATATTGGACTCCTCTTCCCAAGCCCCATAAAGGATGGATTGTGCATTTAGCAGCTTTTAGAAACTGTGCAAGAACTACGAGACACGACTTACAGCATGGAGAGCCTGGTCTCTGTCTGTACAGTCCTGCAAGACTTAAAGCAGCCCTGACAGCAGAGCCCTAACCCCTCCCATCTGCATTTTCCCGGAAAGGAGCCTCCTCAGATGAATGTGCTCACCGTGGAAGCTCACTGCAGTCACATCCTGCCACAGTACACTACCTCATCCATCTCCTCAACACTACACAAATGCACAGTGCTCGCCAGATCCAGCCGTTCTGGTTCAGACACAGACTCAGAAAAAGCCCACCATGGTTCTCTCTGTTGATAGGGCTACCAACATTGGGGCTATCTGGGTCAAGGTTAAAAGGCATAAGGCTGATTATCATTCGGAGACCCCGGAGAGACGAGGACTCTTCTACCCTCTCCCCGGCTCTAAGGTCTGGGTTGAACAGCGAAAGCCACTCCTCAGTCCTATTTACAGTCTCTAACTGAACTTTCCCCAGTCGTCCCCAATCCCCTTTACCCACTACCACCGCTTCTCTTCACAGGCTGCTCAATAACTCCCTCAAGACCTACTGCCCTGACTACAACCAGAACGCTGACTCTGTCCGGGTCAATACCCGAGGCAAGAAGATAGTCCATGTGCTGAGCCATGCAGTGGACCAAATGAACAACTTTTCCAGGCTCCTGTCAGCCCTGAGTGAACTGAGCTGCATGTGTCCCAGGCCAACTTCAAAGTCAGCAAGCAGGCAGGGCTCAGAAAGATAAAGGGACAGAGGTCTCAGAATATGAAACCAACCCCAAAGTTTCCAGAGAAAGAAGTTGGAGGCTCTCCACTGCCTCTATAACAAATGATCTTTCCATGGCTTCTGATGACACCAGCCTCCACCCAGCTAAAATCACCCTAGAGGTGGCTCTTTGTTCTGGACAGCTTTTGAGACTTGTAGCCAGGACCAAGCCTCCAGAAATGGTTAAATCAGAACCTTGGGGACAGACCCCTGTTCTCTTTGCTCTCCTTCCATTCCACACCTGCATGCCCTGGTCCAAATAAAATCAGTCTGGGTGGCAACCTATGTGTCTGGGTTCTCTCTGTCACTGACATGTCATCAGCGGCCATGCTTCTACTGTCTTGGCCCAAGGACTTTTCTGAAGCTGAATGGGGGAGGGGAGCCAGTGTGAGTATCCAGAGAGAAGGGCCCTGGAACCATTCCCAAAGCCTGGGAAAAGTCAGCCTTCCGAGGGTGGTTGTCTCAGGAGACTGGGAAGGAAAGTTCTGAAATGTGCTGCCTCCTTGGAAATGTCACTGACCAACAGCAGCTAAACATACAACACAGATCACAGCAGAACACATCTTTAGAGTAGTGGTCCCAGCTACTATGGAGACTGAGGTAGGGAATAACTAACTCAAGGACAGACTCGGCTTGAGAAAAAACTAAGCTAGGTGTTTTGGTGCAAACTGTAACCTCCAAATTTGAGAGGTGCAAGCAGGAACATTATATGTTCAAGATCAGTAGAAGCTCAGAAAAGAAAAAAGAAAAGAAAAAGTGCTCATCCGGTCTCAGCAATGTGTGTGACCTATGAAGACCAGTGGGCTGCATGGCAAACTGTCTCAAGTCAGAAGGGAAAAAAAATAGAGAGGGAGAAGGTGAGAAAAGAAATGAGAGTAAGAAAGAAGGGAAGGAAGAAAGAAAGAGAGGAGAGGAGAGGAGAAGAGAGGAGGGGAGAGGAGATATGGACAGCCATTTAGACTTCACAGATAGTTTTCTGTTACTCCAGTAGGAAGTCAGTCCCTGTGCTCAGTCACCCTCACCCCAAGTCGAAGAAGTTGGAACTGAGCCCAGGAGTTTCAATTGGCTACCAGTTCATGCTCTGTGTTATCATACATTTATTTTTGCAGTGCTAGAACTGAATCCAGAACCTTCCTCAACCTAGGTAAACATTCTCATCTGGTTACACCCCCCAGCTTCTTTGCTACTGTTTGCTTGCATTAGAAAGATGGGGTCTCTCTTTGCAGAGACTGACCTTGAATTCCTGGGCTCAGGTAAGCCTCCTGTCTCAGCCTGCTAGGACCTGAGGTTCCCCATGTGCAACATCAAAATCAGCTCTCAGCTTCTTTCCTTTGCATCTATGGGAGCCCTGGGCAGCTGAGATGGGAGTCAGAGAGTCTGGTGCCCTGTTCCTGCAGTTCCCTGTGCTTAGAAGACTGACCAGGGGGTTCACTTGAGCCAGAGGAGTTCAGGTCAGCCCGGGTATCACAGCAAAACCTGTCCACACAAAAGAGGAAAAGGAGAGAGAGGGAAAAAAAGAAAGGAGTAGCCAGGAGAGGAGAGAGTAGACAAAGGGACAGGAGAGGGAGGAGGGAGAAAAGACAGGGAGAGAGGGTTCCTCTGTGGGTCCCATATCTACCGTTCTTGTTCCCAGAATAGTGTGGGGCAGAGCAGGGAGTGTGGGTTAGGAAGGAGAGTGAGAAGCTGGGACCCAGAGCAAGGTGGAGGGCTGGGCACTGCTCAGGCTGGTCTGAGGAACTGCCTTCTCTGCACAAGGCTTTGGTACCCTTACTTCTTTCCCAAACACCCATCACTGAAGGCAACTGAAGTGATCAAGGAGCATCCCGAGGGTAATTAATATTCCCTACAGGCAGTAGAAGCCTATTGCCATCTCCCCAACCACGAGCGCCCCCTGCCTGCCTTGCTCTGCAGTGCACCACCCTAGTCAGCCAACGAGGGCCGCCCCAAGGGCGTGTCTCAGACACCACAGGTATATAAGAGCAGCAGCTGCAGGTCCAACACACTCCTGAATCCTACAGACTCAAGAAGGAATCATCATGGTGCTCTCTGCGAAGGACAAGACCAACATCAAGACTGCCTGGGGCAAGATTGGCGGCCACGCTGCTGAGTATGGCGCCGAGGCCCTAGAGAGGTGAGACCACGGAATCCAAAGCAGACACGGTGCACAGCAGGCAGGTCTTAACTGTGCTTTCCTGTGACCTCAACTTCTCCCCCAACCTTCTTTCCACAGGATGTTCGTGGCCTACCCCACCACCAAGACCTACTTCCCTCACTTTGATGTCAGCCACGGCTCTGCCCAGGTCAAGGGCCACGGCAAGAAAGTCGCCGACGCCCTGACCACCGCAGTTGGACACCTGGATGACCTGCCCGGTGCCCTGTCTGCTCTGAGCGACCTGCACGCCCACAAGCTGCGTGTGGACCCTGTCAACTTCAAGGTATGTGCTGGGGCTGAATGGCGCGGCAGTTGAGGGGCTGATGGGAGGTGGAGGACAGCATCTCGGACAAACTGGGAAGGCCTGGGGCCGCTCAAACCAAGGTGACTAGGTGTCTACTCCATGGTCTGAAACGTCCTGTCTCCACAGCTCCTGAGCCACTGCCTGCTGGTGACCCTGGCCAACCACATTCCTGCCGACTTCACCCCCGCAGTGCACGCCTCTCTGGACAAATTCCTTGCCTCTGTGAGCACCGTGCTGACCTCCAAGTACCGTTAAACTGGAGCTTCAGGGCGTCTCCTGCCAGGCTTGCCTTCTGGACAGGCAGTCTCCCCTCCCTTGCACCTGTACCTCTTGGTCTTTGAATAAAGCCTAAGTAGGAAGAAGCCTGTGTGCCTGGGTTGTCTGCATCTGCAAAGGTGCCCCGACTGACATGGGGAATCC